ATTGATTTGTCAAAGTACAGCCCTACGTTCTTCGGCTCCGAACATTCACAGGTGTTATCGGGACACCTGCTTCACTCCAGCCTGCCGGGCCTGACGCGGATGGAGCAGATGTCTCTGATGGCTCTAGCGGACACCATCGCTTCCACCAGCACCCACATTGGAGAAAGCCAAGGCAAAGGCCAAAGTCAGTATCTTTCACTGATATAACTTTAGTTTTCATTTGTAGGGATGTGTTCTGATGTGATGAACCTGTACTCAGGTGGAGAGACGCTGGATGAATGTGGACTGAAGTTCCTGCTAGCCGTTCGCCTGCACTCCTTCCTCCTCACGTCTCTGCCTCCGGCTCATCGCGCTCCGCTGCTCTGTCAAGGTACGCCTGCATCAGTGTCCATGAGTGCCTCAGAAGATATTCATGGAATATAGTAGTAAAAAAGTATTACAGTTTCCAAAAAAAAAATTTGGCAACACAACTGATAATAAATCAGCATATTATACTGATTTCTGAAGATCATGTGACACTGAAGACTGGAGTAATGATGCTAAAAATACAGCTGCGCATCACAGAAATAAATTACAGTTTAACAGATATTCACATAGAAACCAGTATTTTATATTGTAATAACATTTTGCAAGATTACAGTTTTTTTCTGTATTTTTGATTAAATAAATGCAGCCTTGATGAGCAGAAAGGACTTCTTTAAAAACATTACAAGTCTTAATGATCCCAAACTTTTGAGCGGTAGTGTATATATATATATATATATATATATATATATATATGATATTGATGTTGAACTAGAGCATGCCGCTAGCAGCACCAATGTCGTGGGTTCGATTCCCATTGGAATGCATGCACTGATAAAACTGCATGAATGTAAATCTCAGCTGGTCTTGCTCAGATGTTGTGTGGTCTGAATAATGCCGCTGGTCTACAGGACTGTCCACCTGCCATTACGCCTGGGCGTTCCACTCCGAGGCCGAAGAGGAGCTGCTCAACATGCTTCCGGCCCTGCAGAAAGGAGAGCCCACGTGGCCTGAGCTGAGAGCCATGGGCATGGGCTGGTGGCTCAGGAGCACCAACAAGCTTCGCAGATGCATTGAGAAGGTTTGACCAAGCTGAGCCCATTTTCTGTGCATATTAGCTGATGATGAGTTAGGGCTTTTTTACGATTTTATCGATCAATTCGAATTTAATGTTTTGCCACGATTTTACTAGACAGGCTGAAAACTGCTGTTCATTGTTTTTACAGAACATTTATAGTTAATAATAGTCTACTGGTGTTATACCTTCAGTCATTCTGAATTTGAATTACGTTGACTTTTAAGATTAGCTGATGATGAGTTAGGGCTTTTTTACGATTTTATCGATCAATTCGAATTTAATGTTTTGCCACGATTTTACTAGACAGGCTGAAAACTGCTGTTCATTGTTTTTACAGAACATTTATAGTTAATAATAGTCTACTGGTGTTATACCTTCAGTCATTTTGAATTTGAATTACATTGACTTAAGATTTTTTTTAAAGCATTTTTCTCGTATTATTTCTGAACATATAATATGTATAAGACAAGTTTGTACAAGATGTAGCTGTAGTTCATGCATCCTTTCTGCAAGGATAATTAACAAGTGATTTGTTTAACATTTACATAATGATTACAACTTCATGTGTGCTGCACTTAGAATAGAATTTTCTTTAAATAGCGGGTTAATAAAGAAAAAGTTACTTGAATCATGTTGTAGTTACATTTTCAAGTTGACTAGTTAAAAATTGTACAAAATCGGTCAAATGTTCTTAGAAAATCGAGATTTTATTTTTTGGCCATATCGCCCAGCCCTATGATGAGTAGATTTTGGCAGAATTTCTAAAATTCAGAATATTTTTGTAAACAAATGCATGTTCAGTTGTGTTGGAGTTGCATGCATTCTGTCTGGA